ATTCATGTTAAATTGCCTACAAAGTTCCTCATTTTCAACTCAATCATCCAAATAAAGTATTCAAGTAATGAAATTATCATCAGGGAAATATAACAAAGACACTAGTAAGGCGGATAAGATGTAGCAATAGTAAAATCATTTCCAAATAGAAAATATTCTGATAGTAACTTAGTAATTAGTATAGAATATATGAGATTATGTCTAATAATTTGGATATTGGACTTGTTATTATTGACATATGAATAATGGACTAAATATAAAATATACAAATTTTGGATTTTCGGATATCCAAAAAATCTAAGTACCAAATGCGTTATCCAATATGAAATCCAAAATTTTAAAAATTAAATCAGAAATCTAAAATCCAAATAAAAAATCCAAACAATTTGAATTTCGATTTAGATTTCGGGTTTGCCAAACTACGCCCACTCCTACTGGTCACTAGTCAGTAAGTAATTTTCTTAAAGGCATTTCGGTAATCTCGTGGGGTGCAATTGTCGAAATGTGTATTGCCAAACTGATCCTTTTTATTTTGTTCAGGAACAAAATGACCGAGTTAATTAATCCTAGTTTTGCAGTAAGTAATCAATATTTTTCTGAGAAATAAAATTACTCACTTATTTAATATTCTGCAAGAATAAACCGCGAAAGACAAACTTTTTACAACCCGGTCTTCCTACGTTGTAACGACCCGACCGGTTGTTTCATGACTTACAGTCCCGTTCTCCCCATTTCAGCTTCTTTATGTGTTGTTCAATTGTATTTCATCATATCGAATTGGTTGTTCTGTGTTCGGAGTGGTCATGGAGACACTTAGTCTCTTATTTGGAAGCTTAAGTTGGAAAAGTCAACCAGACATTGACTTATGTGTAGAAGTTCTCGGATGTGAATTCTGATGGTTCGGATAGATTCGTTAGGTGATTTTGGACTTAGGAGCATGATCAAAATATAATTTGGAGGTCCGTGGTAGATTTAAGCTTGAATTGACAAAATTGAAAATTTGGTATTTTCCGGTCGGCAGTGAAAATCTTAATATCGGGGTCAGAATGGAATTCTGGAAATTGGAGTCCGTTGTGTCATTTGTGACGTGTGTGCAAAATTTCAGGTCATTCGGATGAGGTTTGATAGGTTTTTGGATCGATTGCGGAATTCGAAAGTTTGAAAATCCTTAGGCTTGAATCCGTGGGTGATCCGATGTTTTGATGTTATTTTGAGTATTCCGAAGGTTGGAATAAGTTTGAATAGTGGTATGACTTGTTTGTATTTTTGGTTGAGGTCCCGGGGGCCTCGGGATGAATTCGGAAGGTTGTCGGAAAGATTGGACTTGAAATTGAGCAGCTTCAGCTGCTGCTTCTGTCATATCCGCATATGCGGATTAGGGACCGCAGGTGCGTGGAGGAGTTCGTAGATGTGGTGTGTTGGGCGCATATGCGGGACCACAGGTGCGGTGCCTAGGCGCAGATACGGCTCTGAGGAATTAATCAAAAACCTTAGATGCGGTTATTTTGATCGCAGATGCGGTCCGCAGAAGCGTAATTTGGGCCGCAGGTGCGGAAATACCTGGGTAGAAGGTATAAATTAAACCCTTCGCGAATTTTTGTCCATTTCCACCATTTTTGAGACGGGATTAGAGCTTTTGGAGGGTTTTGAAGAGAGATTCAAGGGGAACTCTGTTGAAGTAAGATTTTTGAACTTAATACTCGTATATTTATGGTGAATTTCAGCTTATTAAACATGGAAATTGGAGAGATTGGGGGTGAAAAATTAGGAAATTAGGGCTTGAAATTAGAGAGTTTAGATTGGGAAGTTGAGGGGCCATTTGGGATCCGATTTTGATAATTTTGGTATGTATAGACTCGTGAGTGGATAAGAATTCTAGTGTTGTGATTTTGATCGAATTTCGAGACGTGGGCCCGGGGGAGGGGGGAAGGAGGGGTGGTTTGACCAATTTTGGGATTTTGAGTTTAATTTGATAATTTTCGCATGGGCTTTATCCCTTTGGCATGTATTGATGATATGATTCCGATTTTGGATAGATTCGGGACGATTTGAGGCCGAGTCGAGAGGCAAGGGCATTGCGGAGTAGATTCTCGTCCGGTTTGAGGTAAGTAACTATTGTAAATCTAGACCTGAGGGTATGAAACCTCGAAAGTTCGTACTGTGTTTGATAAATGAGGTGTCGCACATGCTAGGTGACGGGCGTGTGGGCGTGCATGCGCACCCGTAGGGATTGTGACTTGGTCCATCCCGTAGCAATCATAAAATTGGCTATTTTGATAAACTCTATATGATATCTATGTCTTAGAAATGATTCTGGAAACTTGGGCTGAATGCCATGTTTTGGGGCCTTGTGCCATACGTACTGTTGGACCCTCAGGGACATTTTACTGTTATCTTCACATTGTTTTTGATAGAAAACATTATACTCAGTAATGGTTTCTACTTGTTTATTGTTAAATCTTGTTCCTCACTCTGTTTTTAATATTTATGAAAGTGTTTTGGGCTGAGTACTCCAAGTTTGCACTAAGATGCCCGAGTAGCTTACGAGGTTGATAAGTGAGTGAGGTCGAGGGCCGAATTGTGAGGATANCAACGATATGTTGGATCGGGTTGCACGTCGCGGCGATATAACGCTTGGGTTGTAGGAGCCCCTCCAGAGTCTGCACACCCCCAGTGAGCGCAGTCGACTATTTATATATTTACGGATCGGGCTGCACGCCGTAGCGGTTATCATTATGAGATATCTATTGAGCAGGAGTACTGAGTGTGAGTGTTGATTGACGAAAGTTGAGTCACAAGTGACTAAGAGGCTTGCCCGAGGGGCTATATATATGAGTGGTACTTTGCCCGAGGGGCTTGTTTATGAAATTACTGTTTTCACTCTTCTTTTATACTGAGCCTCTATTGAAAATATGTTGAACAAATGTTTTAAATATCTTTCATTGAAAAACTGGAGTTTTTACGAGATGTTCGGAAATTGAACTACGGATTTGACTTTTTGTTGTTTCTATCGAGATTCTATGTTAGGCTATGTATATGATTTAAATGTCCGTCACTGCACTCAGCCTTTATTTGCTTTGGTTACTTACTGAGTTAGCATACTCACATTACTCCCTGCACTTTGTGTGCAGATCCAGGTGCCAGAGCATCCGAGTGAGAGCATCCAACAACTTCTGAGTATTTTCCGGAGATAACAAGGTAGCTGCACGGCGTCCGCAGCCCTGCCTTTCTCCTTACTATCCTTAATATTATCTATTTCAGTCTTATCTTGTATTGAGTAGGCAGTATTGGACCGTATTTTAGTGGCTCATGACTAGTAACACCGGGATCGGACAGTGTTGATGTATTTGCATATTTGTCTTTCCGCATATTTTAATATATTAAAATAAAAGATTTGAGATTATATCTGATTAGAAAAATGAATTTACAAAAAACCTTTATGTATTAGTATTGAATCGGCTGACCTAGTACTGTGACCTAGTACTGTGATAGACGCCATCACGATCGGGGTAGTTTGGGGTCGTGACATACGTACTCTAGATAAAGCTTACTAGTAGATGATTATTTAAATAGTATAATGTCTACGTTAAATGAGTTATAATACTCTTACGCTAAACCATCAATCCATGACGAGTAGGATAAAATTTGAAAATGATTTTAAATATTATTACTTGTCAATATTGTAAGATAGATTTCTCTGAAAAGTGGATGGTGAAGGGCGTTTCGTCGAGACGTCGTTAACAAAAAGGAAATGTAATTCGTCATAGTCCGATAGTCGTAGTTATGAGAGAGTATAAAAAAGCCTAGACTTACTCACGTACATTATAATACTTGTCTTTTCTAATTAAAATATTTAGTAACCTATCAAAAACTTTCTCAGTATTTTATTTCCACCATTATACAAACAAGAAGTGGAAAAAGAAAGAAAAGATTCCACATGTATGTTTGACTAATGCACAATAATGAAACACTTTGATTAGAAATTAGTTACAGTATATTGTTTGGTTACTTATTAGGTAACGGTTTGACTTCACACATCAAGCTTTTGAAAATGTAAGAACGTGAAGTGGACACTTAGCTTATTAAGTACCACTTTCAACTGGGTAAGACTCGACGGGTTTAACGTTATTTTAGATGAAGAGAAACCTATCATGTTTTAATAATGGAAACCAGTCGTTAATTTTTTTTACAATGGAACGTACTTATAATGGGAGGATGTTGGAAGAGTATTAACAATGTAAGAGTAAAAATTGTTTGTCGTCTCTAGTGTGCGTAAAAGGGACTATTCGGAAAAGGTGGTATTGATTAGTCAATTAATCCAAAAGCACCTGATCATTCATTTACGTAAGACCAATTATTCGGAAGGCATGACAGTACTATACCTGCGATCTTCTATGACTATAATAGAGAGGACGATACTCATTAATTCTCATAATTCACTATTCAAATCCCATATACAGTAGAGTGCCAGGATTCTGAGTTCATTAAAAGTCCAGCTGACAGTCTATTTCTATTGCAACATGTGCTTGATTGTTTGGTCATTTGTTAGAAGAAAAACTGATCAACAAGGCTGCAAGAGTGTTACAGCACTGTATTTAGAAGTTTCAAGTTCGAGCTGACTTGGAAAACTGAGAACTTTTTTGTAGGAAACGTTTAATTAGTGTACTTCTAAGAGCTTGTAAAATTCCGATATTGAAAGCCTAAAGAAAAAAGAAAACTTTCTTAAACCCACACACGCAAACAGTTGTCCTTTTACGTTACACGTATCATTTAAGGATGTAGTATTTGTTAATTTTACCCATATGTGTATGCTACTATTTTCGTAAGGTAGCTTTGGTATTCTATTAATGTACACTGACTTAATAAAACAAAGCCTGTTGTCATATGATTACTCTTCCAAGTTACAATATATATATAATTTTAAAGATATCAAAATATATATTTAATATAGCTACAACCATCAGTTAGTTAAGCATCTTTATTTTATTTGAGCACATGAAACACTTGGGATATCCTTGAATTTCAAGGTAAAGACTAATGCCAAAAAGAGCTTTTCTAATGTATTACTCATATTTGAGATGGAAATAGAACTTCTAATCAGCTACTACTTGAAAAGATATTAGAAATAGGCCTATCCATTTGACTTATGTAACTCTTAATAAGACAAAATTAACTTTATTTGATTTATTGTCTTAAAGCCCAAGTCTCTCTTAATATAAACCAAATAATTTACAACAAGAGACCTTGTCCATTTCTCTAGAAAGAAAGCAAAGAAAACTTCCTCAGAAGTTCCATGAAAATGCTCAAAAAACAATATTAGAAACAGAGAGAGAGAAAAATGGGGAGAGCTCCTTGTTGTGATAAAGCTAATGTGAAGAGAGGACCATGGTCACCAGAAGAAGATGCTAAGCTTAAGGAATTCATAGACAAATATGGCACTGGTGGTAATTGGATTGCTCTTCCTCAAAAAGCTGGTAAGAGATTCTTGACCAAATTGAATTCTCTCTTTTTCTCATCCCATTGGAGTAATTCTTTTTCCTATTTTTATGGAAATATTTTTTATTTTTTATTTTTTCTGCTTTAATTGATGAAATGATTTTGGATCAGGATTAAGGAGATGTGGAAAGAGCTGTAGATTGAGATGGCTGAATTATCTAAGGCCTAATATCAAACATGGTGATTTTTCTGATGAGGAAGATAGAGTTATATGCAGCTTGTATGCCAGCATTGGAAGCAGGTAGAAAAGTTTTTAATTATGTCTAATTTATGTAACATCTTTTCCATTTTTTCTTTTCCTGCTTTGGCCACTTATCTGCTACTTTTAGTGCTCTTAAATTTTCATGTGTTTTCATGACTTTGAGAACTGAAATAGATCCCATTAAAAAATACTAATACTGTAGAAGAAGAACCTCAATATTGAATAAGGCTAAAAAAGAAAAGCATTAATTTGTTGGTTTCTCACTGAGGATTCTGCCATTTTATGGACATTTCTACTGCATGCATGCCAGGTTTAGATCTTGGATCAAGTCTCTGTCTTTACTTACAAACATACAGCTGTGCCTGTTAGGAGACAGTTCAAATTGATAAACTATTCCATTTTTTCTTCTTGAAGAGAAAATCTCTGTTAAATTCAGTAATCTAGATGGAACTTATTTTATATTCTAAGAATTTGACTTTAAATTTTCCTGTACTGACAATTTGTAGATTTTTATACTATCAAGAAACTCTTCATAAACAAGCTTGATGTATTGATCCAATAAATAGAGCAATAACCAGTTAAATTGAATTGACATTTAACAGTGTTAGTATATATAACTTAAATCTCATATAGTATAATTATGTGTCAGGTGGTCAATTATAGCAGCTCAATTACCAGGAAGGACTGACAATGATATAAAAAACTATTGGAACACAAAGCTCAAGAAGAAGGTCATGGGTTTAAAATCACCTTTCTTTCCACCAACCCAAACCCAAACATTTTCAAGTCTGTTTAGAGATTCATATTACACCACAACTAGGTCTCTCACTGGTGGCTTAGAGCACATTTCATCAGCCCAACCAAATCTTATCATGTGCACTAGCAATAACATGAACTTTAACTTTGAGTTGGGGACAAATCAATATTCCTATTTTCAGCCATGTCAAGATCAGAGCTTAATGAATCCCATGCAAGCAACTTGTTCCTCATCTGATGGAAGTTGCAACCAAATGAGCTATGGAAAAGACATTAAACAAGAGGAAATGGGCAGTTGTTTACAGAGTCACATTCCAACAACTTTTGAAGAAACCACCCAAAAATTTACTCTTGATTATGGTAACAATATTGGACGTGGTAATGATCACCAGCTTGGCACTTGGGCTGATCAAAAGTCAAATGGATATCAAAGTAGTCAATTCCAGTATTATGATATTGAAGAAGTTAAGGAGCTGATTAGTAGCTCTAGCAGTGGCAATGGATGTAATAACAACAGTTTTTTCTTCTACAATGATGAAAACAAGACAAATGAGAGAGGGATGCACTATTAATGAGGATCGGAGAAAAATTCAAATAGGTGGCCGGGGTTAATTTGTGTACTTGTGATGGAATTGAATTAATGAAAAGCTTCTATTTTGCTTCCACAGAGGTTTTGCTTTCTGTGCATTTCGTTTTTGTAGTTATCATGTAATATCGTTATCATTATATGTGTAATGTCTATGCTTTTGTCCCCTAGCCTTATACTCCGGCCTATCTATATATTTAGAAATTACAACTCAGAAAAAGATGCAGAAATCAGAAAATTAAAACACGAGTGACGATCAAGCATCCACTGTTCTTCACTTAACCAAATACTGTTTGCACTATATATATAGAGAGATACACAATAAGAAAGTAAGTTCTTCTAGTCAAATCTGTCCCCTCTTTTCTTTCCAAAGATGTATATTCTTAACGTACTAGCGCTGGCTTTTCATCAGAATGAGCACTGTTTGCAAGTTTGGATCTTAATACGAGAGTTGGTAATGAACAAGAGATTTCTTTTTACACAGATGACATGAGCGAGGATTTGAATTTTATAAGTTCAGACTCGAAATTCTACCACATTTCTATCTAATTTGTATATATATTTAATGAGTTTTCTGGTCAATATACATGGAGTTTTGGTTCAGGCAAACCATAACTTCTATTCTAGTATCTATTGCTCGTAGCTTTGTTAGAATCCAGACAAGTGCTTGTTCTTTTAGAAAGAGTCATGCCAGCAAAAATAAAGATAATAATACAGCAAAGTTTAGGGGTTGCATTTCAGCTCAAGATATTAAAATGACTGGAAAATAATTCAGAATCTCAGTCTTATTCAAAACTTAAACCTTCACAAGTTATACAAGGGAAGTACTTCCTTAGCCTTATAATAAGTGGGCGGGGACAGGCATCAACTTCTGTACAATACAGGCAATAGAAAATTAAACGTCATGTACTAAGGAGTGTAGCGAGATAGTAGTTAAGATTCTTAAGCTCGTATCTGAGATTTTCAAGTCATGAGAACGTTCAACTAGGGGTACAAAGGAAACCGACAAACCGCATCAAATCGATAATCCGAATCAAACCGAGGAAAAAATCCGACTATAGTTTGGTTTAATTTGGTTTGGTGTTGGCGAAAAAAACCCGACCATAATTGGTTTTGTTTGATTTTAGCTAAAAAAAAGTCAAATCAAACCAAACCAAACCGATATTACATGTATAGAAGTTTTAAATATATTTAGTACATAAAAATATTTATTGTAGTGTAGTTTATAAATATTTCTTAAACATTTTCATAATTTTATCTTTTAACGTATTATTTTAAACTTAGACTTATAATTCTTGAATGCTACAGTAAGTTTTATAGTCAATATTAATGCAAATAAAAGATATTTAATTAAATTGTACTAGGAATGACAATAGTGTTGGATATCTATTTTTTTTTAATTTTTTTTTATGGTTTAGATAAAATGCACAACTTATTTTTTTTATAGTGTTTACTCATGTAAAAGTAGTACTTGTTAGTCGTACTTATTTTAGCAACTTAGTAAGAATAACAATAGTATTGGATATCTAGTTTTTTAGTTTTTTCATGGTTTAGATAAAATGCACAACTTATTATTATTTTTTTAATATTGTTTACTCATATAAAAATAGTACTTGTTAGTCGTACTTATTTTAGCAACTTAGTAATTTAAGATTATGTTTATTTTTATATGGCTTATTAATAATATTTATTTTATGCTATTTTATTATCTTTATTGTTGAATATTTTAGTACAATGCCATACCTCATCTCATATTTTAGGTTATTTTTGAAAAGCACCTTATGCAGTTATGTCTTACTAGGATCAAAGAAATATTTGGAGCACAAATTTTAGGTTTTGTTCTATGAAGACTTTATGGAAAATAACCGAAATAACCAAAAAAATCCGAGAAAAACCGAGATTAAAAAAACCAACTTTTATTGGTTAGGTTTGGTCTTTAGATTTAATAACCCGACACAATTAGTTTGATTTGGTAACTGAAAAATCCGAACCAACTCGACCTATGTACACCCCTACGTTGAAGAGTTTTATCTTTTATTTGACATGAATATGGGTTATTTATATAGTGAATTTTGAATACATTTAAAGAAAAAATATTAAATTAAGCAAAAAAAAAGAAAGAAGAAAAACGTTAATCCCGTGATGAAAAGAGAAAAAACTCATACGCCTATCACGGCAATCGAAGAGTTTGTCTTTCATAAGTAATTTTAACAATGGATTATGGAGTGGCTTATGATTTGATTAATTGATAATTGACCATTGTTTTTTTTGGATATAATTAATTCGAGAGTGTCCCCATTGAAGTTGACCTTGCTTAGCAATCACCTTAGGTAAGCTATATTTGTCAAATCGACAAACCAATGTACTCCACTTGGGAATTTTTTTCCCCTTCTTTTTCATTTTTCCTTCTCCGTTTACTCTTTACTTTATTAGCTTGTGTTAAATAAATATTGTAAACAACTGATAGTTGGATTTAACTAATTCTGGCCAACAATGTGAAAATGTTTGACAGCCATAAGTGCCAAGAATTTTCTACGGTTATTTTGAATAATTGAGTTGCAACCTAATTCGACATCTCTTTCAAAAAGAAAGGCATGTGAATAACGTCAACGCTACAACTTTGGTATCCTCAGCCTATAAATATTAAACACGACTCCATTTATACGTAACCATAAAGTATAGTGTTATAATAGCTCTTATTTGGCGTATTATTACTACTTATAACACTGCGTATTAGGAGTGATATATAGTTTTCTATTGGAAGAGACCCATTTGCATTATATTCCCTGATAGGATATTTCCCGTCGGGCTAAAATGGAACTCGTTAGCTACGGGTTAATCCCAGAATGTAACTTGGCTAAAATTTTATATATATTAAATAAGAAAATAGTAGATTGTGAACCCAATATATCATATGGGTTGTGGTAGAATTCTGATCAACTCAATCAACAAAATTTAAATCTTAAATTCCCCATTGTCTCCCCTCAGAGAACCTAATTAAGACGAGTAAGAATGGATGCTTTTATCTGTCATGGTTGTTATGTGTGTTTTGAGTTCGGATATATATGCATAGTTATGATTAGGGGTAGAAATGAAACCGACAAACCGCACCAACCCGATAATTCGAGAAAAAAAAATCCGATTATGGTTTGGTTTTAACTAAAAAAAGTCAAACCAAAACCAAACCAACCCAACATTATATGTATAGAAGTATTAAATATATTTAATACATAAAAATATTTATTGTAGTGTAGTTTATAAATATTTCTTAAGCTTTTTCATAGTTTTATTTTTCAACGTATTATTTCAAGCTTGGGCTTATAATTTTTGGATGCTCCAATAAGTTTTATTGTCCATAAATATTAGTAATTCAAATAAATCCTAAACCAAAATTAAATCAATACTAATGTTAATAAAAGACATTCAATTCAATTGTACTATGAATGAAAATAGTATTGGATATCTATTTTTTAGTTTTTCCATGGTTTAGATAAATGTATAAATTATTTTTCTTTTAGTGGTTAGTCATGTAAAATATTAGTACTTATTAGTCGTAATTTTAAATTATGTTTGTTTTCATTATAGCTTATTAATAATATTTATTTTATGTGATTTTATTATTTTTATTGTTGAATATTTTAGTACAATGCCAAGACTCATCTCATATTTATATTATTTTATTAAAAAAATACCTTATATAGTTTTATCTTACTAGGATTAAAGAAATATTTGGAGCACAAATTTTACTTTTTGTGCTATGAAGACTATGAAAAAAACTCCGAAAAACCCGAGATTAAAAAACCCGACTTTTTATTAGTTTGATTTGGTATTTAGATTTAATAACCCGATACAATTGGTTTGGTTTGATAATTAGAAAATCCGAACCAACCCGACCTATGTACACCCCTAGTTATGATAGAGTTAGTTATGATAGAGTAGGTATCATTACAAGAAAAAACTATATTGTGACGGAAAGATCCATCACAATCCGTCACAAATTTGAACGTTGCAAAAGTTTTGTGACTGAACAATAAAATTCTCACAAAATCATCACAAAATTTATCCACATTAATGAACTCGTGTCATAAAATCTTCACAAATTGGTCACAATTTTATGTGTCATGACCCAAAATTCCTCCGAAGGAGTCATGATGGCACCTAGTGTCTAAACTAGGTAAGCCTAACATTTACAGAAATAACCTTAATATTTATTAACTTCAAATTAAATAACTCTCAATAAATAACAATTCCCAAAACCGGTGGTACAAGTCATAAGCCTTTCTAAGAGTAATTATATAAAATAAATACAAAACTATTCCAGAATGAGAAGGAATCAACGGAACGTAAATAGAAACGAAAGTGACTCCAAGGCCTGCGAACGCAGCAACAGGTTACTGTGAGTCTCCACCGCGACGACCCGCACAACTACTATCGATCAATACCTGGATCTGTACACAAAAATGTACAGAAGTGTGGTATGAGAATACCACGACGGTGCCCAGTAAGTATCAATACTAACCTCGTTGGGGTAGTGACGAGGAACAGTTAAGACACCTACTAGTCAAATGAAATGAACAGGATGTGATAATACAACATCGAAATAAAGATAACGAGGTAGTATCAACAACGGGAAAAAATCAAAATACCAACAGTAAGAACCATAATGGGAGAACACGGGTAGCAACAAACGGTAACCAAGTAAATCAGATAACCAAGTAAATCAACACTGACATAACTAGAACAGAGACAAGTAAGAATGTATTCAATTAAAGAAGGATATGCCCACTCAATCAATCACATCATGTCTAATACACGTCTCAATCATAGGTTTCTCATATCATACTCTTGACTTCCGAACCTTCCGCACACATGACACCTTGTGCCCACATATTTTCCATCTCATTTTTAACAACAGAATCCACATGCTATACAATACATAATGTCCGTACAATGCACTCAATATGTCCAAGAAGTCCCATTTACCTAATATAAGTAAAATTACAATTTCTAAACTAATTGGGAAAGCCAGTGAGAAAAGATGAAATTGTTTCTTTTGAAATTATTTGAGTAAAGAAAGTACCCCTTTTAATTTAAAAATACAACATTGAATGAATTATTACCTTTAACAAGAGTTTTGATAACTTAAAACATAGTAGAAATTCCTTTTTAA